GTGGGTTTGGATTTTGTGAGTTAATATTTTACTATTTTGTAAACTGATTTTGGTATTTGTTCTGGTTTTATTTTGGGTTTTGAATTTAGTTTGTGGTTTTAGATTTAGAATTGTGAATTGTAAATTAGAACTAGAATTGGAATATGTGGTAATTAGATTAAAATTTGTATAAAATTTATCTGATGATTAAAAAAATTAGATTAAAATTTTAATTAGTTTTACATTAATAATAAAATAAGAAAATAAATTAATGTTAATTTTCATAAAATTTGATACAACTTTATAAATTATTCGTAGTGGAGATTGCTATGGACAATAGTTGGATATATTTAAGGAACTGATAGTCTGATGAGTACTTGGATAGTTTGTGTGCTTTTATTAAGGTTAGAAAGAATTATGCAAATTCAACCGGGGGTATTAGTTGTCAGTGTATCAAGTGTAGAAATCATGAGATGCTGCCACCAGAAATAGTGAAAGCGCACATACATCGGTGGAGTTTTGATACAAGTTACACTTCATGGATTCACCATAGTGAAGTATGTGCTGCTGCAGTTGTCAATGAACCTGTTGACAAGGTGTCTGCAGTGCTAAATAATGTGGCTGAGATTAGTGATGATCATGAGACAATAGGTGAGACAGAAACAATTATAGAAGATACTCATTACGATGAATTTAGAGATCTCTTATCCGAGCTCCAAGTCGGATTGTATCCAGGTTGCACTAAGTATTCATCGTTGAATTTCTTAGTGAAACTAATGCATCTAAAAGTATTGTACAAGTGGTCTAATGAGTGCATGGATGAAATGTTGAAGCTACTGAGAGATACACTCCCTGAAGGGAACCAGTTACCTATATCGCATTACAAGTCGAAGAAGTTATTGAGTAAACTGGGTTTGAGCTATGAGGCAATTCATGTGTGTAAGTATGACTATGCTTTGTTTTGAAAGCAGAATGCTGCTTTGTAGTCTTATCCATAATGTAGTTCAAGTCGTTGGAAGAGCAAAAAGGAAACATTTTTTTTATGGAAAGTACTCCGATATTTCTTTTTGAAGGATCGGTTGAAGCGTCTATATGCTTCCTGTCACACTGCTAAGAAAATGACGTGGCACGTGCAGAGGCGTCACCATCTAGCTCACACTCGGCAGGATCTTCTATGACACGTTTGGACCCACACGTAGAAGAATACTTGCAACAGAGTTACCAGCAAAACCTCCAGCTGTACGAGAGCGTTAGAATGATGTAGGACTACATCACTCAAATGGACCCCAACATAACTTTCCCAGTGGTTACTCCTCCTGTGCGGTATGTCCGTTCAGGTCATCTGCCTCCGAACCCTTTCGATGATAACGACAATAATTCTAGTGATGCTACTAATTTAGGAGATTAGATTTTTATTAATGTAATAATTTTTATTTCTGTACATTTCTACAATAATTAAAATTTTATTTTATTTTATTAATGACTTTCTACAATAATAATTTTTATTTTTATTTTTTTATTATTTATTTCCTTTTATTTAATTCTTCTTTATTATTATAATATCATGAATTAATTTAATATTGAGTTTAAATATATAGTAATATACAACATTAATTATTAAAATGAGAAAAAATAAATAAAAAATTAAAATATTATTTGTGACGACAAATGTGGTCGTAAAAAATGTAAGCCACTTCAGTTAATTCTACATCTTTTGTGATGACTTAATTCACAACATGTTGTCGTAAATACTCAATGCCATGCCATCTTAATGATGCAACCGTCGAAATAATTGCAGCGACTCATTTGTGACGATTGTCGTCGCAACTATAATTGCGACGACTGCTTGTTGTCGCAAAAATTATTTTTGGGACGAATCAATTACGGTGACATTTTTGCGATGATAAGTGGTCATAAAAATTCATTTATGATGACTTTGTATGTTTAGCAACGACTTTGTATGTTTTACAATGACTTTGTATGTTTTGCAACAACTTTTTATCGTCGTTAATAGCCCTGTTTCTTGTAGTGCACAAGACTTTTCTCACAACATAACTGCATTTACAAGTAACGTATCTTGTTGAGGCCAAATTTCATACTTCATTTCTTATTACACACGTGTCAACACACTTCTCAGAGAATGAAGCTGAATCATGAAATTGGCTGCCGGAAACAACCCGCTACCCGTCAGCAGGGTCGGCTACCAGAACGATCAGTTCAGTGGTCCGCTACCCGAACGACAAGTTCAGCCCCGGGCAGCCAACTCAGCATTTGAATTTCAGCATTAATTCCATCATAACAGCAGTCATATTCCGTGGGATATTGCCTCAATTAGCAAAAGGGAAAGTCATTCTCCACTTAAACTTGTTGCGTAAGCAAATTTTCTACAAGGAAAGATCTTCAATCAAAATTCAAATGGGAAACTAGCCTTAAATACTTTATTTAGCAATCAAGGCCTATAAATATAGCGCATGCAGATGACACGGGGAGATACACATAGACACATGTTCACGCCCATCATCTCATGCCTACACCATTTTCAAGCATTCCTAGGAGCTTTTTCACCACTTTTTACATACTTTTCAGTATTCTATATAGTGGTCTCCCAACATTTACGGAGATCACAATTGTATTCTTCATTAATATTCATAGGAAGATCTGAAAACCCTACAGTGGATGTACCCTAAATTATTAGGGGAACTACTATAAATCTTTGTGTCTCACTATCTTTATTTTCTATTTTTTCATTTATTTTCTCTACGATCACGATACTAATGCTCTAATCATCCGAATTCAATCATTGGCCTCTAACAAATTTAATTGTGGATTTCACCATCTACAGTTTTGCCCCCACTGTGGGGCCTTTGGTTGTAAATTTGGACGTTTTCTACCTGCAAATATAACCAAAAGTGCCAGAATCGCTGCTAATCAGACGGCTCGCCAAGAGAGACGTTTGGTCAGCGGAACAACTAGATAGGTAGCAGCCTGATAGTTGAATGACCATCTGCCTACAGAATGGAGGCGCAGACAATATTGAAGATTCGCACAGCCGCTTCACCAGACCGCCGGCATTCAACATGCCGCCGTTGGAATGATGATTTACCCATGTTAGCCTCCTATTATCATAAATCTCATGTTCCACCTCTCTTTACAATACAAAAAACCAATAGATAAATGACAATATCTCCCAATATTTATGGAGATCATCATTATATTCTTCATCAATATTCATAATAGAAGATCTCAAGACCTTACCGTAGACGTACCTTGGAATATCAGAGGAATCACTACAAATTTCTGTATCCCTTTATTTTCACCCCGATCACGAAGCAAACACTCTAATCATTTAAATTTAACCATTGGCCTCTAATAAATTTAATTGTAGATTTCACTTGGCGCCCACCATGGGACCTTTGGCTGTAAATTTCGAACGTTTTTCCTTCTGTAGATTTGATGAACAACAACCAGAATCGCTGCCAATCAGACAGCTCGCCCGGAGAGACGTTCGAACAACCAAACAACCAGATGGCTAGCTGGACAGAGACAACCTGACAGTTGAACGGCTAGCCGCCTGCAGAACGGAGACACAAACAATATTGAAGATTCGCACAGCCGCTTCACCAGTCCACCAGCATTCAACACGCTGCTGCCATCAACCACAGCTACTGGAACAGCGATTCACCCCTTTCAGCCGCCTACTATCATAAATCTCATGTTCCACCTCTCCTTTGCAGGATTTTATAGAGAAGAAAACCCGGGTTCATTCGTAGATCCTGCAAAATGACCCATCAATCATGATCAACAACTTACGAGCCACTGTACTAATCAGATTCTAACTAACTAACAGAAGCTGCAGTCTTCAATGAATTTATAAGCCAAGAATTTTCACCCTCTGAAAATTATACTCTCTCTCGTGTATAAGACTTTTCTCACAACAGAGCTGTATTTTTACAATTAATGTATCTAATATATATATACAATACAAAAACCAATAGATTAATGATAGCTGTAAATAGTAAGGGTTGTTACATTTTTAATTTACACTTTCAACCATCAATTATATAAAGATAGGGGACTTTGACGTGGTTCAAGATGTTAAGAACATAGGCCATGTTGTTTTTTGTGTTATTAATGAATTAAGGCTCCGTTAATTTTATCGATTTGAGTTTTGCTACAGTAAAAAACTCTTATAAATAGTCACATATAACTTTTTTACTACAGTAAAAAGCTCTCACATAAAGTCACATCTTAACTTGAATTAAAAACTCGAATCAACAAACTAAAAGGGTCCTAAATATTTCAAAATGTTGGGGGTCTAATTTAAAGGATTTGTTTAATCCATACTATCTTAAGAAAGAATTATGCTTTCTGTAGAATCCCCAACAATTCGGTTACCCCAAATTGGTTGGGTCCCTAACCCATTCATTCTCACCTTCAGTTTTACACCATCAGAATACTGAGAATGAAAAGGTTTTAGAAACTCCCAAACCCGGTAGAACAGAAAGCTTTGGTTTCGGATTGCATTAGTTACGTCAATGGCCGGAGGTATTTCGATCACACGTTTTCCGCATTTGATCTTTTGTATTTAATTTTAATACATGTTAAGATCGTATTTTAAGTCTAACACTTGTCTTTTCATGCAATTAAAAATTTTAAAATATCATTCATCATTGATCTAAAAGTACTAAAAAAACACTTTCTTTATCTGTTTTTTTATTCAAATTTCAAAAAAAAAAAAAAAAAAAAAAATTAACGTGTGTCGATTCGTAGAAGTTGATTACTTAAGGGCAAATTTTTCACACCATTTTTTTTTTTTTTTTTTGAGGTAGCAACAAATTGGAACCTTTTACTAGCGAAGTTCATGAATACTAAAATAATGCAAAATTCGGGTTTCTTGTTGAAACACGTATAACATAGGTTATGAACCTTACAAAAAATAATCACATGAAATGGCCTAATTAATCAGGCAATTTTAATTAATTGATGGGAAGGCTACGGAGGACGAGAGTCTCGACAGAATATATGCCAAAATAGCTAATTTATTTTATACCCATCACAATCACACTTATTGTTGAAACACGTATAACATAGATTTATGAACCATACAAAAAATAATCACATGAAATGGCTTAATTTAATTAATCAGGCAATTTTAATTAATTAATGGGAAGGCTACGGAGCACGACAGTCTCGACGGTCAAGCCGGGGCCGAAGCCGAAGAGGACGCCCCAGTCAAGGCCTTCGCCGGTGGTGGACTTGGCTTCCTCCGCCGACTTCTTCCTCATCTCATCCAATATGAAGAGCACAGATGCGCTTGACATGTTTCCGTACTCTTTGAGCATCTCGCGAGTGGCCCTCAGCTTCTCCTTCTTCAGCCCCACTGTCGCCTCCACCTGGTCGAGAATCGCCGGCCCTCCCGGGTGCGCCACCCAGAATATCGAATTCCAGTCGCTGATCCCGAGGGGAGTGAACGCCTCCTCCAAACTCTTCCCTATGTTCTTCGATATCAGCATTGGCACGTCCTTGAGGAGATGAAACGTCAGCCCTACTTCCCTCAAATGCCCGTCGATCGCGCCCTCTGAGTCCGGAAGGATCGTCTGGGCCGCCGACACCAGCTCGAAGAGCGGCCTTTCGATAGCCAAGTCCGGTTCCGCGCCGACAATGACTGCGGCGGCGCCATCGCCGAACAAGGCCTGGCCCACCATGGAGTCCAGGTGGAGTTCGGAGGGCCCGCGGAACGTGACAGCAGTGATCTCAGAGCAGACGACAAGAACGCGAGCGCCCTTGTTGTTCTCGGCCATGTCCTTGGCGAGACGGAGGACGGCGCCGCCGGCGAAGCAGCCTTGTTGGTACATCATGAAGCGCCTGACGGAGGGCCGGAGGCCGAGGAGCTTTAGGAGCTGGTAGTCGGCGCCGGGCATGTCGACGCCGGAGGTGGTGCAGACGATGAGGTGGGTGATCTTTGACTTGGGCTGGCCCCACTCCTTTAGGGCTTTGACCGCCGCCTCTTTGCCTAGCTTTGGTATCTCCACCACCACTATGTCTTGCCGTGCGTCCAGCGATGGCGCCATGTATTTAAGGAACCAGTTGTCTGATGAGTACTGTGATGGTTTGGGTAATTTTATTGAGGTTGGAAAGAATTATGCAAATTCAACCGGGGGTATTAATTGTCCGTGTATCAAGTGTAGAAATCATGAGATGCTGCCACCAGAAACAGTGAAAGCGCACATACATCGATGGGGTTTTGATACAAGTCACTTACTAGCTATAAAAGATTATTAAGAATATAATTGCATGAAAAAAGATCCAAATGAATTTTGAGATGAATTAATTAAAAGGTACATACACATGCGTCTAAACTTGTGCTTGAGTTCAGTCTTGTGCTCGCTGTTGGTGATTCGGAAGTAGAAGTCGGGATAATCAGCCTGCATGAAGAAGTTGGGCGGGTTGGCGGTGCCGATGGCCAGCACGGCGGCCAGTCCCTCGGCCCGCTGCGCCTTCCGGATTTCTTGGACGGAGGTTGCCATGCTAATTAATGTAATGTCGGACTTTGCTAGATTATATTGCTTTATATAATATGATCAACAAAAGCTCACAACAAATTAACTAGCTTAGCTGAGTTGCTATTTGTTGAGTTGAAACAAACACAAGTTAGCATGTATATATATACACTCTCGGAGATGTTCATGTACTAATTAATAAGTTTATGTGAGGGCTGTCAAGTGGGTAGCTAGGTTTTGAACCACGTGAGCTTTTGGGAGTTGGGGTTAGGCTGGTCAACTGGTGACAGATATGAAATATCATGTGATCACATTTTCCTTTTTGTCTTTTAGTATTGCATTAATCATGTTTTTCATCTCCAAGTATTTTGGTGATGGGAAATTAAATATTATTGTGGTTGATTTTGACCAATCGTAGTTGTAAAATCATATGAAACAAAATAATAATAATAATAATAATAACAATAATAATAATAATAATAATAATAATAATAATAATAATAATAATTAGGCAGTTTATACTCTAAGATTAGAAAAATAAAATTACCGATTGTTTTTTTCAGTTGTCAAATCTGCATTAAAATTTGTCGATTTTACATTCTTTTTTAATTTTATTTAATTTTAATTAAATTAAACAGTTAAAAAATTAATTTTATCGGTAAGATGGTCTACGGAAACAGTCGCTAATAATTATTATAAAAAATAGTTAGTTAAAGGAAATAGGATTATGAGACTACCAGGTCAGTATTTTGACTTTGACGAGCAAGAATTCGTATCTTCCAAAGAACATTCAGTGAACCTCGACGTTGACTGCTACCTTGCGTGGAGCGAATGTTACAAGATATTAAGAAGAAATATTCCTTTTTTCAATTCTGGATTTTAACCCTTTTTTGCATTCTTCAAATTTATATCAGTCGGGCAATCGAGTTAAAAATAAAAAATAAAAAAATAAAAAATTAACTTACTAGTCCAAAATGGTGGGATCGAGAGAAATGGACACTTAATTTGGAAAAGAATGTGATTGATGAAATGGACACCTTTGGAAAATAATATAATTGATTTTATAACTTGTGTCGTCTAGTGTTATCTACTTGAAAATTGCAAGGGTTGTTACATTTTCAATTTACACGATAAAGAAAGGGGAATATTTTAAGTATTTTAAGATGACTACTTGCACGAAACTTCTACCAGAAAGGGCTTGGTATGTGTGTGTATACATACATACATACATACATATATATATATATATATATATATATATAATATAAACGCATTTTGTCAAGAGCTTATGGGCCTATAATCTGTAAAGCCTGGAACCTCACTTCCGTCTTTTGCAACATCCTGTTACTAAGTAAAATTCTCAACATGCTTACATTGGTTACCCAAATTTATATAAAATGCAGATATATTTTATGTTTTTCTTTCAAACTGATGTATTTTATTGCAACTTTCCCTAACTTTTTGAAAGTGTTAAGTTTTCTTATTCTCTTTGATTCAGTTAAAAAAACTTGTTAAAAATTTCTTTGAGTTGTGGTTTTTTTTTTTTTTTTTTTTTTTTTTTTTTTGCGCACCGAGAACTTAAGATATGGTTATCACAATCTGATCTAAAGGTACTAAAAGTACCTTCTCTATCTTCTTTTTTATTCAAATTTTAATCAAAAATTAATGCATTTCAAGTTTTAACATGTGTGACCAGTTTTACTTATATTGTCTTTCATATAATTTATCGATCTTTCATATTCCCTTTTTTTTTATCAAAGAGTTTGCTTGTGATTGAGATGCATTTGTCATCAAGGAATTTTAGCATCATTGCTATCAAGGAATGCACATGAGCTTTCGAGGGTGGTCAATCATTGATCGAATCTAACATGTTTTAGAATGCATGTTTGTTGTGTAAGTACTTCTTTAGTCAGATCAGCAACAGATTACACTGAAAAAGCCTCAAAAAACAGATTACGCTGAAAAAGCCTTAAAAAACCGCAATCAGGGAAGTATTTTATGTAAGTTTCACGCACAAACACAAACTAAAGGGGGTGATTTAGTTATAATGTCTTTCATATAATTTCTCGATCTTTCATATTCCTTTTTTTTATCGAGGAGTTTGCTTGTGATTGAGATGCATTTGTGATTGTTATCAAGGAATGGACATGAGCTTTCAAGGGTGGTCAATCATCGATCAAATCCAACATGTTTTAGACTGCATGTTTGTTGTGTCTTCTTCTTCTTCTTCTTCTTCTTCTTCTTCTTCTTCATTTTATGTAAGTTTCACGCACACACACAAACTAAAGCGGGTGATATGGTTATAATGTCTTTCATATAATTTCTCGATCATTCATCTTCCTTTCCTTTTATCAAGGAGTTTGCTTGTGATTAAGATGCATTTGTGATCAAGGAATTTTAGCATCATTGCTATCAAGGAATGCACATGTGCTTTCGAGGGTGGTCAATCATCGATTGAATCTAACATGTTTTAGACTGCATGTTTGTTCTTCTTCTTCTTCTTCTTCTTCTTCTTCTTCTTCTTCTTCTTCTTCTTCTTCTTCTTCTTCTTCTTCTTCTTCTTCTTCTTCTTCTTCTTCTTCTTCTTCTTCTTCTTCTTCTTCTTCTTCTTCTTCTTCTTCTTCTTCTTCTTCTTCTTCTTCTTCAGTCAGATCAACAAGAGATTACGCTGATATAGCCACAAAAAACCTCAATCAAGGAAGCATTTTATGTAAGTTTCACGCATAGACACAAACTAAAGGAGGTGATTTTGCATCTTCTTCTTCTTCGTCTTCTTCTTCTTCTTCTTCTTCTTCAGTCAGATCAACAAGAGATTACGCTGATATAGCCACAAAAAACCTCAATCAAGGAAGCATTTTATGTAAGTTTCACGCATAGACACAAACTAAAGGAGGTGATTTTGCATCTTCTTCTTCTTCTTATGAGAAATGCTTCTTCAGTCAGATCAGCAAGAGATTACGCTACAAAGCTTTGAAAAACCTCTCTTCTTCTTCCGTCTTCAGTCAGATCAACAAGAGATTACGCTGACATAGCCACAAAAAACCTCAATCAGGGAAGCATTTTATGTAAGTTTCACGCACACACACAAACTAAAGGAGGTGATTTTGCATCTTCTTCTTCTTCTTATGAGAAGTGCTTCTTCAGTCAGACCAGCAAGAGATTATGCTACAAAGCCTCAAAAAACCTCAATCAGAGAAGTACTTTATGTAAGTAACTAAAGAGGGTGATTTTGCATCTGGAAAGTATACATTGTTGAATCATTAAACTTGATTTGGTTTATTGAACGTATGAAGTAAAAACAGAAATTAGATCAAGTTGGTATGTAAGAAAAATGCATGTGACTTATGGCAAAAGAGAGAACGATGCATCATAGTCTCCATCTGCAAGCACATTCTTGTGTTTGCCAATATGTTAACGTGCATGAGGGATATTAGTTGTCGATATGGGATGATAGGTTGGCTAGTTATTTAATTGTATTGCTGTGAGAGTTTTTCATGGTTTAATATTGAGTGGTTTGTATTGATTCTCTAGTAGTATAAATAGTCCCTCCATTTGGTTTGTGATGCATTGTGTGTGTGAGAGTTGCTTTGTATTTCGAGTGAGAAATTGAGTGTTGTACTTGAGTTGTAAGTTTGAAAAATAAAGAGTTTTAGAGTTTGAATTTGAACAAATTTCCAAGATACATGTAGGCGTGGAATGGTGGTGTTTCCTCTAAGTCTTGCCAATCTTGTTTAATTGGCTCTTGACAGCATTGTTAGGAAATTATATTTCCTATTATCTAATGTGGGCCGCATTTAATTAACAATTATATTAGGCTATTTAATTATAATGGATTAATTAAGTGGTCTAAGTAAGGGAACTTAATAGAACTTTTAATTGGATATGGGATAAATGAGTGGATACCCAAGGCTTATCCAATCAGGTTTAATGAGAGCCTATTAGATAATTATATAAGGACTTTTAGATTATGGTTCTTAATACATTAATTCATTCGGTCGTTTTCTCTTGTTTCCCATTTAGAGAGAAATACCCCATTAAAAAACACTGGTGATTTGACTGAAGAAGATAATAACTGGTTAGTCAATTGTTATAGATTTTCTATAAAAGTGTCGATTGTTGCTACTATAGATTCAGGTACGCTTTCTTAATATTTTTCTTAGTAATTTGCCATGATGATTCTTGAGATTTATGAATATAGTGATTAAAATCATATTTATAATTAAAATCTAATAAATAGTATCAGAACGATCATTATATTAAATTATTGAGAGAAATTTCTTTTCCAATTTTTCGGCCGTACTGTATTTCGGCAATCATTTAACGTCGAGTTTTGCGTTTCGGCTATCCTACCATATATTTTGGCAATTTTAAGTTATATAAATACATATATATATATATATATATATATATTCGGTTTTGTTTCGAAGTTTAAAGGCAACTCTGACATTTTCGGTTGAATGTATATATGTATTATATTGGTTTTTTCGAAGTTTAAAGGCAACTCTGATATTTTCGGTTGTATATATATATATATATATATATATATATGTCTTATATTGGTTTTTTCGAAGTTTAAACGCAACTCTGACTTTTTCGGTTGCATATATATATATATATATATATATATGTGTGTGTGTGTGTATTATATTGGTTTTTTGACTTAAGGTTTAAGATACGTTTCGAAGTTTAAAGACGACTCTGACATTTTCGGTTGAATAATATATATGTATTAACTCTGACATTTTCGGTTGAATATATATATATATATATGTGTGTGTGTGTGTGTGTATTATATTGGTTTTTTCGAAGTTTAAAGGAAACTCTCACATTTTCGGTTGAATATATATATATATATATATTATATATATATATATATATGTATTATATTGGTTTTTTGACTTAAGGTTTAAGATACGGTTTTTTGACTTGAGGACATTTTTGGCCGTCGTTTATTAAAAAAAATATGGTTAAGGATTGCCGGCGACAGTGGGTTATCTCAGCCGGCGTCGGCGACTACCGGCGGTGGCCGTCGGACCGCGGGATGGGACAACCGCGGCCGGAAGGCCGCGACATCTGGACTGTGGCGGGCATCCCGCCCCCGGTTTTTTGACTTAAGGACATTTTCGGTTGA